AATTGTGGGTAGAATATATTTTAATAATAATAATAATAATAATGTAATAATGTGTAGTTTATTATGTTTTGATTGTATACACAGTATTCTTTTGAGGCTCCATGAATTACTGCATCAATGCAGCGTGGCATGGAGGTATGGATGTTACTGAAGCTCAGGTTGCTTTGACAGCAGCCTTCTGTGGATCAGGTTTTTCTCATCTTCCTCTTGACAATCTCCACAGATTCTCTGTGGGATCCAGATCAGGCAAGTTGGCTGTATGATTAAGCATGATAATAACATGATAATAACACGGTCAGCAAATGATTTGGGAGCAGTTTTAACATTGTGAGTGGTGCTAAGTCCTGGTGAAAAGGAATTTGGCTTCTCCTTAAAGCTTTCAGTGAAAGGAAACATTACTTCAAAACCTCCTGGTAGATGTCTTGGTGTAGACTCAATGATCCAGATAAGGAAATCTCAGAAAGTTGATTTCGTTCATCTGGATTCAGCATTGTCTGTGGGAAAAAAGGTTTCATCACTCATGTCAGCTGACTGCAGGTTTCCCCAACTTTATATGATCATTTCTGTCACCTATCTCCAAGTTTCTGGCTTTGGTCCTGAATCGCTTCGTGTGCAGCACCAAACGCAACATTCGAATCACGCTGGACGACACCAGATGAAACAATGGCCTCTTATGAGGCTGTTACATCTTCTTCACTTGTGTTACAGCTACCGGACCAGCTCATAAGAGATTAGAGGACAAGCCCACCCTCGACACCAACCAAGCGTCTCTGTCCAGTCAAGTTTATTTATAAGCACATTTGAAAACAACAGATGTAAAAAGTGCTGTATATCTAAAAAAGATTAGAAGATAAGTAAAACAGCGTGGATAAAAAGTCATCGGAACGCAGTCCGGTTTAAAAGCCAAAGAATAAAAATACTGTCAACTGCCAGAGCATCTAAAAGCATCTAAAAATGAAAAAAGGATCAAGAATGGACTCGAGTGGCTCCACATAAGAAAGGAAGATGCACGCCTAAGCTGTAAAATTGTTTGGTAAAGCAAGATTTAAACCATTCCAGCCCCTTTTATTCTGAAACTCTTCAGTAACACTGCTTTCACCCAAAAAGGAATAGAGAGAAGGAAAACAGCTTTCTCCAGAACCTTAGACTAGAAAGAAGTTTAGAAATCAGTCAGAAGTCTGATAAAACTGTGGGCTCAAGGTTTTGCTTTTAAACAATAGACTCCACCACAGTATGCCACTGCCATTGATAATAGTGAGTAAACTCTTTGCTATAGTGCCAAAAATATCCATCAGTCGCCAAGATGAATGTCCAGGAGACATTTTGTGGGTTTTAAGGGGCAAAGACACAGATTCAAAGTGGTCAAAAGCAACAGAGGATGTGTGAAACGATGGGTCAAAGCCAGGAGGGATGATATGAGACCGAATACTTACAATCCTGGCATCAAAAGCAAATTCTCATCTACTGCTTTGGACTCTATGAGAGGAGGAACCAGGAGGATTAACAACAGAGTTAATAATGCTGAATAAAACAGGGTCGTCTGTGACAGTTGTGAGAAACAATATCAGACAAACACTTTGTTTTTACCGGAACGCCTCTGATAATTTAACAGAGACTCTCTAAGAACATGAAAAGACACCAGAAGTCTATCCTCTATTTTTGTTCAGCTCTCCTACACACCCGTCTGAGTGCTTGGGTGGCATTATTTAACCAAGGCTGAATGTGAGGTTTCAGATTTTTGAGAGCTGTTACTTCAAGCTACATATTTCATATACAAGGGCCAGGACTTCAGACAGACACACTGATGCACCGTGGGTTTTCCACTTGACCCTATTGTGACTAACTTGCATATGGAGAAAGTCAAGAAGAGGGCTCTGATATCATTCCTGAAACACCACCGAGCTAATGGTTCAGGTATGTGGATGACACCTGGGTGAAAATCAAATCTCAGGATGAACCACAGTTCACTGATCTTATTAACTTGGTGGACACACACATCACGTTCACCAGAGAGGATATAAAAATTACAGCTGTGCATTTTCAGACTGTGAAATTACCACATTCCACAGGACTCTGCAAAACAGAGCAAACACCAGTCCCACAGACAAAGTGGGCAGAGAAGCAGAAGAACATCCAATCAAAGAGACGTTGATCAAATGTGCTTATCCCAGCTGGTCAAGTGTCAAAACTAGTAAGATACCCTAAGAAACCATCGGTAAGCCATTATGAGTCAGAAGTATTGGAACAGGTGAGACATATTTTACAGTACATCAGGTCTCTGTGGCTTTCAAACCTGAAAACGCGCCATGCCAGAAAGTGATCCGGCGCATGGATCAGGTTCTGAACTGAGCAAACCAAACAAGTGCTGACTCAGGGAATGGCACAACACGGAAGAGATACGCCATCAGGCCAGGACTCTGTCGTCTATTTACACCTGAAGGCAAGCAACCACTCTTTCAGAGAGGAGCATGTGTGCATCCTGGACAGGCAGGAACACAAGTTTGAGCAGGAAGTCGAGGAGGCGGTTTACATGAAAAGGGGAAGACCATCTCTGCACCAGAGAGGGGGCCTCAGAGTACATATCTCACCATCTTACAACCAAAACTAGTACCGTTGCTTAACAATCTGCAAGCTCAGTTTCATGATTGTTAATATGTGCTGTTATCTTGTCCAAGGATATTTGGGATGCAGACTGGAGCAGGTGACCTGCTCTGCTTCCTGAGCTTCAGCCACCCAACTGAATCTGTACTGTTGATAGCGCTGGGGAAACCTGCAGTCAGCTGAAGACTGAAGAACTCACTTGGATGACTAAAGAAATGTTCTTCCTGTTGAAAATGCTGCGTCCAGATGAACCGAATGGCACCTGACATTGGGTGACCACCAACAGTAGATGATACGTCACTCCAAACTTCACTCTGGACTTCAAACACCTTGGATTCACCTCTTCTTCCAGGCTCTGGGACTTTCTCTACAATCCTAGGATTGGACTTCCACAAAATGTGCTTTCTTCTAAAACCAGACCACTGCTCAACAGTCCAGCTCTTTTTCTCCTTTGACCAGGTAAGATGCTTATGGTGCTGTCGTTGGTTCAGGAGTGACTCGATGCATCAGTGGTGATTCTTGACACGCTGACACCAGCCTTAGCCCAATCCTTGTGAAGCTCTTATATTCTCGAACTGACTTTTCTTGTAAATCTTTTCGAGGCTGTGGTCATCCCTGTTGCCTTTTCTCCAGGCATACCTTTACCTTCCAGCTGACCTTCTATTAATATGCGTCTATACATCACTCTGAACAGCCAGATTTTTCAGCAACAAACTAGACTGAGAGATACACAGTAATTATGCCGTCTTAATAGTAAGTTATTTAATGATTTAATTATCAGGACAGAATGAAATGTCCTGATAATTTGAGATATTGGATTTCTTCAAAGTTTAAACAAAAAAAGTCTTTAAATATTTCCTAGAAAATATGAAAATTCCTTTTTGAAATAAAAAAAATCTCACAACTATTAAATGTTTTGTGATCCACTAAAACTGGGACTTGGTTTTCTTGGTTAGCCGGTGATCATATTTTTTGTGTGAGGTGAAGAAAATTTCTGACAGGTTAACAGGTTAATATTGGGGGAAAACTGAGTCTGACTTTCCAGAATCCAGCTGCTACATCCCGGCATCATTTCATTTGAGCTACTCCACTAAGTAGACATAACATTAGCTCTGGTTTGCCACTCAGTCAAGCTCAGCCAGCAGCTCCAGTAGATCAGCTCACTCCAGTTCGTGCCATTCGGCACACCTTTTTTGAAAAATCTCTGCAAGCCACTTTGATACCCACCACCACCCCAACACCTCTATTTCATGCTACTTCTGACTTAAACAATCACTGTCACCGGTGGCTGCTCTGTTTAGTTCTCTGCCTTTAGGCTTTACACATATTTGCTTTTAAGAGCGGACGTGTCCCAGAACAGAGCTATATCACCAAATATAATTAGTGTAAAAGGAATAATAAAAAATAAGAAACAGTCCTGGCAGGAAATCCTCAGGTTTACCTTTTCCGAGTCACAGCACACAGCCTGGGCCTCTGATCTGCACTCCAGGGCTGGTGAGTGTGATGGTGACCGTGGTAAACAGAATTTGATTTGAAGTCTAAGCTGGTTGATTTATAGTTGAAAGGTTTAATGCAGGAGAAAATGATGATAAAATGACTGATTTCAGTGTTTAGGAACAAGTTGGAATGATGGAAGTGAGAAATAAAATGTGTCGTATTTCAGTTTCATTTTCCCTCGTTTCCAAAATGAGAGTTAAGATCACAAATATTACCTGTGCCGTACTGTTTCAGGCCTAGTTTTGTGTGTATGTAATGGTTATGAATGAGGCTCCCGGTGTTGCTTTATCTGAAAGTCCGGGGGGGTGGGGGTGGGGGGTGGGGGGGATGAACCTTGGGATGAACAGCCGAGCCAATCAGACTGACCACAGGATATGCCACAAACGGGGCTGTAGACCAGTTTAACCCATTCAGGTTTTCTCTTTCATGAGACAAAAATCTTCTGTTTGTATTGTAAAGTTGTTGGTTGTTTTCAGACAGGAAGTTCTCAGGTTTACTTGGTTATCTGAGAGCTGTGGAAAGGTCACCGTGTGGCTTTAATCAAAGGGAGAGGCTACAGGCGCTTCAGCGTGACCTCTGAGATGTTAGAGGATCCACTGTGACTTTTTGTCCTCACTGATATTATCTCTTTAGTGACAACAGAGCATCGTCAACATAATGACGAATGTTATGCTTCAGCCAATCATTTGAGCCAATTAGCGCACGTCTCTGTAACATTTCCTGTTCG